CCCTGGACTCCGGCTCGGTCCTGGGTCTTTCCAGGTGCAACCTTCCAGACTCTTCCTCTGTGCCCTTGAGCTTGACCCTCCCAGGTCCTGAGCTCTCTTTGTGCCTTTGGGTTCCTGGGTGAGAAGCTTACTGTCCCAGCCCTGGACCTGGGCCCCACTGCTGCAGGATCTGTTGATCTCCCACCCTCCGTGGATCTTTTTGTTTTCCTTTATTTCTATGTGGTGCTAAGGATCGAACCCAGGGCCTCACATGCCAGGCGAGCGCCCTGCCATCAGTCACTTCTCTCTCTACGTCCCTCTCATGTTTAAATATTCATTTAGATATAGTCTCCCACATCTGCTTCCCATGAATTCTCCTGGCTCCCACCCTAGGTAAAAAGAGTGGAAACTGGGCCGGCATCGCGCTGGTATTTCTCCAGGCCTCGTCTATGTAATGCGGATCGCACCAAATCAGACTTATCTAGAAATACCTGTGGTCAGTTTTTATACCCGCCACGCATCATGATGGTTCATACCTAAAAGAACAGCATTAACTTGTTGATATTAAATGAAGATGCCCAAAATCTGCCATCCGAGCCTGTTAGAAATGTTTTTATCATGGCTAAAATTAAGAATGAGAAACTTACCCCTCATGGAGACCCAACCCAAACAATTTTTTTTAATGATGATGATAATTTTTAACCACCAAGCTCTGTCATGGTGCCTCACTATTGAATAAAGATGGAACATGCCCATGGAAGTCAACATCAACAGATTCAACCATTTTAAATATAGCCAGGAGCACAGCATACCTGACATCCAAAGCCAAGCTGGTATTGATATTTTTAAACTCGGTGAAGAATTTAATGGCTGCTGATTTCAAGCTAAGACCTGATTAGGAACGGTTCCATTTATAACTTGTCTTAGTTCATTCTCTGTTGCTGTAACAAAATACACTTATAAGCTAGGCACTTATAAGGGAAATGGCTTTATTTAGCTCACAGTTTGGGGGCTGAAAGTCTAAGATGAGCAGCTCTGCCTGGTGTCTGGTGAGGGCCTCAGGGTGGGTGGCATCACGCTGGCCGGGGTGTGTGTGGAGGTGGCAAGTCAGGAACGCAGTCTTCAGGGGTCAGCCTCACTCTCTTCATAGAACCCACCTTTGAGGGAGCTAACTGTGGTTGTAAGAGAACCACATGGGTTTCTTCCAAGGGCGTGCCCCAGTTACCCAATCATCTGGCACGGGGCCTCACATCTTAAAGATTACGCCACCTCTCAACACCATCACCCAAACCAAGCACACAAACCTTAGGAGAATGAGCCACATTTCACCATAACACAGCTCCTCCTGGGACCATTGACGGAAACAAAGGCCCCGTGGATATTGCGACTAGACTTCAGACACTTCCCCTTTCCCCCAAGCAACACACGTAACGAACAGGTGCTATTTCTCATGGCTCAGAATTAAAGTCAAATACTGTGGTCTTCTCTAATCTTCCAATCTCACAAGTAAAAGTCTGGTTCAGAGACTAAACAAGACCTTTATGGAAAACCCAGATGATAACCCAGATGGAGTTCATTCCTGGGCATGTGAGGAGCAGGCAAGGCAAGCACCTGAGTTTATAAGCCTTTTGTTCCCTTACCTTTGACCTTGGTGAACTGGATGTATTTGTTGCTTTAGTTTTAAGAATAATTTAGAAATCACAACTGTGACATATATCTAAGAATAGCTTGCCCCAGCTTTTATCATTAAAATCAAATTAACATAATGTCTATTTCAATTTAACTGGCAAGCTCTAAGAAAAGCCCTTAGTTGGAAACCCTTCAAAAGTACCTAATTTGGCTAGAGTTGCTTGTGCTTTCAGCAAAACCAGGCAATGTAATCCTCTTGGCCTTACACGAACAGCTGCTGGAGTCTTTTATCAGACTGACTTTCTGTTCATGCCAAGGAGAACTATTCTCTTTGTGTAAGAGTGACTTTGAAGATTAATGAGTAACAGAATGGGTACACATGGATTTATGGACATTTGAAATTTTTAAATGTTTTTGCATGTGAACCCTTTGGGAAAAAAAAATCAGAGATGCCTCACTTGTTCTACATTGATTGCCTTGAACGAAAAATAAACTTCAGTGCCTCTGATTCAGACTTGAATTCTCAACAATCCACAATGACCGCCCATTGACAGGAGGCAGGTTTTAGGTCTCCCAGGAACAATAAGCCTGTAGTAGTTTATTTTTGGAAAAGGCCTTAGCTTAGGAAACCTATGGGCTTCGGTGCCTGCTCACCTCTCTTTAAATGTGATTACCACATCACAGGCCCCAACTGTTGCAATAGCAGGCCTAATCAATAGAGATGATTAGGAGGCCCTAAGAGGCAGGGATCTGTCCCCTAATCACACAAGCCAAGCTCTTGAATCCTTGCTGCTTCTGTGCTCTCTGCACTGGAAACATAAGTGTGCATGTGAATTTGTGTGCATGTCTTTAAAAACACACACTTTGTTTAAGTTCATTTATTTTATATTTTTGAAAATTGGCATGATCCCAGTCATTAAAAGGAAACCAGGCTAAGTATTACAAATGGAAAAAGGTTTAATAAAAGGATCTACATCCGAGCTACTTTGGAAGGGCTGGAAAAGGAGAGGGAAAAGATTAGGAAAGACAGCTCTCCTGCATGGTGGTCAGCCCTGTCCTGCTGGATGGCCAGTTTCAAAGCCCACCACATCTGTGTGGGCATCTCCCTTGACTGGCCACCAACTACCGTTCCTCCGCCAGGAGTGGCGCTGTAGCCACCGCCAAGTCCTGCAGGAGAATCCCCACTCCCTCCCATCCTCTGAGCTGTCACCAGCCTACACAGAGCCCTGCAGCAAAGGAGTCTGGGAAACGTGTGTCCTCACCTCCAAACCTGATGCGGAAAGCACCACCAGGCAGGCCACCCCTGGTGGGATGCCTGTGATCTTACCCCAGTACTTGAGCCATTTTTACTTTTTATGATCAATTCATTTTATTTAAATTGAAGTATGAAAAATTCTGTTTGATTATTTCTTCATTAAAGAATATTTTGTGGGTGTAAAGAATTTATTTAGGGGGCATCTGAATGCTCACAACTCAAAAGTGACAGACCAGATTCTTTATAAGGTTCACTCTTGCTAAGTCTTGCTACAGAAAAGCACTCCTGTGCCCCTGCACTAGTCACTTGGCCACTTGAAGCCAATTGAAGTGAAGCCAATTCTACTGCTGGGTGAAGCCAATTCTACTGCTTGGGTTTTTATATTTGGTGCTCATTGATATTTTTGAAGGCAAAATGTCGCCTTTTCTCTGGTAATTTAATACTCGGCTTGCTTTCTGAGGCTTACTGTCTGTGTTTTCTAGGTACATTCTTCACATGCTTAACCCCAGTGGGAAATTATTTCAGATAAGTAATCATCTATAAGCTCACTTAAAATAAAATTATACCTTCCTAAACCAAAACTGATAATAAAATCCTCTTAAACTGCCAGGATTAGATGGCTAGTAATATGCATCTGTGTAAAACTCTTTCATTTCAGTTATCTTCTCAGCAATTCTGTGAGGTGGACCAGCTACCGTTACCCCCAACATTTTTCAGATCACGATGACAAGTCACCATGGCTGTGGAACCGAGATAAGAAGTGGTGTCTTATTAACACATAGGAGAGTTTGCTCATGAACTCACACTCAGAACTCCCCTCCCAGCCTGGCCTTCTCTCCGTGCTGTGGTCTACAGCGGTGGTCTTCAGCGGGAACACACACACCCACTGGAGACTTGCAGGGACGGTCGCGGTGGGGAAGGCCTGGGTGCTCCCAAGGCCTCCAGACCCCCACCGCACATGTGTCCTCCTTCCCCAAGGGGATCTGAGAACAGGAAGCACAGCCCTCTCCCTCTCACCAGGACGCACTGACTGGGGTTGACAACCTCGGTCAGCAGGCCCTGGGACAATCCAAAACACTGGTTTTGATATTAAGAAAGTGGTTAAGAAGTCAAGTAGCTAGTGACTGCATTAAAAAACTTTTTGTAATCTGGGTGGTTTCCATTTTTTTTTCTTTCAGTGTAATTGTATGAAAACTGACCACTAGAGAATAAAAAAACAATTTAGATGATAGATCAGGATGTGAATCTTGGCGCAAGACTGGGAAGGTCAAAGAACTGAGTGACACTGGGCTGTCACCAGCCTACACAGAGCCCTGCCACAAAGGAGTCTGGGAAATGTGTGTCCTCATGTGCGTGTAAACACTCTCCATTCCCATGAGGGTCTCTCCACTCCCATGAGGGTTTTCTTGGACCACAGGTTATAAAAACGAAACACAGGAGAAGGACTGATGTTGAACCCCTGCTCATTCTAATGATAAGACACGTTCATCCACAGAGTATAAGACTCGATGGGAGAAGCCACCCTTCCTGACTTTCTACCCAAAATGTACAAGTACATTTACAACAAAACTTTACTTTGTGTAATAATTATTTTTCAAAATCCACAACATCTTATGTTTTTCCAATTATGGTCTGAAAAAATTCTGACATTTTGAGACTTTTTAATAGCAGGAAATTTTTGAAACTCAAATTCTATATACATATAAAATTTATTGCACAAAGAAGCCTGATAATCAATAAAAAATTTTTTCTATATAAATGACACATTAAGATAATAGCATGTGGAAATAAAAATGATCATTCAAAGAGAAAAAAGATCCATGTTGAATTTTAGACTGTCAACTAATTTCCGTTGGATGCTGGTGAGTAACCATTTAAGTACTATTGGATACACTAAAAAGAGGGCTATAACAACAATGTTATTTTAGAAATCAATATTTATAGTATACTAAAAATTATATCCTTGATAAGTTACATAAACAAAGAAATTATTGATATGTTGGTATAAAATATGCATGTGATTCATTTGCAAAATTTATTTAAGGAGTAGAGGAGCAAAAATGTTTAACAGGAGATAAGATGCTCTAAAGATTAACCTCCCTGATTGTCTCCATGAGTGTTTTCTTTGTTTTCCCAGTTTGACCTTGTCTGCGTCAATGCATGGATGTTGGACCTCACCCAAGCCATCTTAAACCTTGGCTTCCTGGCTGGGGCATTCACCTTAGGCTATGCAGCAGACAGGTAGGTGCCCAGGTGACAACCTTTTACAGCAATATCATGCAATACATGCATATGTGCTTGTGATTCATATCCTTGAGTGAAGGGGCAGGGGATAATTTAAGAGGCCAGACATTTACACATGGGGTGGGTCAGAGAGTGAATTTAAAAATCGAGATTGAACTCCCAGTTTTCAGCTCAGCATAGAAGGGGCTTAGAAGTTGTCACAAAGTCCTAACAAGGATAAGTTGGACAAATGGAAAATCAGCAGTCTTCATGGAGCTGTAAGAAAGTCGAAATCAGAGAGTAAACTTCAGCCCCCCGAGTTGGAGAGACAGAGATATTCGAATCTCCCTGAGCAGAAACCCGGGGGTGCCAGAGCTGTGGCAAGAAGGCTGACCTGAATTGAGGCTCGGGGTTTGAGACTTAACTCCAGGGGCCCCGTGACGGGTGGGGGACACACTTATGTGTGTCCTGGAGCTCTCCCGGGCCCTCACGGTTCCACCTGGAGGGATGAGAGGAGAGGGAGGACACACAGAAACATGCAGGAGCACTCTGCTCCCAACAGCCCACCCTCAGGGAAACTGGCCAACTAGAACCTCACCTGCGGGGGGTAGCAGAACCTAAATGCCTGGGGAAGGAAAAGGCCCAGCTCCAGTTGGCGCTAGCCTGCCATGCAGCAGGAGGAAATCCCCCGTCCAGCCCGCGCTGGCCATCCTATCCAAGTAAGGGGAGGAAGAGACATGAGTGATGGTCAAAGTCCGGAGGCTCACTGAAAAACAGAGCCCTTGTGGGACTATGGACACCCCCTCCCTGACACCGCGCGGCCATATCCCCACAGCCTATTTATAGCTGTTGCTTTTACTCAGTATATCCTGCCCGGCTATCAAGAAAAAATTAAAAGGCTTACTAAAGGCCAGAAAAGCAAAACCAAACCAAAACAGCAATAAAACCAGCTTGAAAACAGCAAGCATCAGAACCAGGAGCAGACATGGTAAGGATGTTGGAATCATCAACTAGAAATGTAACACTACAGTCAACAAGCTCAGGACTCGAAAAGCAGACAGTTGGAAAACAGACGGGCAGTTTAATAGAGCTGGAACTTCTAAGAACCAAAAGGAAATGCAAGGGGTCAGACAGAAATAAAGAATGCCTTCATTGGACTTATTAGTTGATTGGCATGGCTGAGCAAGAAATCTCCAAGAGACTACTTCAATAGAAGACACAAATCAGAAAAGCAAAGAACAAAAAAGACTGGAATAAAATAGAGCCTGATATTCAATAACTGTGAGAAAGCTACAGAAGTAAAGATGTATGCATGAGAATGCCAAAAGGAGAAGAGAAAGGGAACTAGAGAAATATTTGAAACCATAATGACTAAGAATTTACCCAAATTGTGTAGATACAGCACGCTCAGATAATACCAAGCAGTGATTGCCCCCACAGTTGCACACAGAGGTACATGGCCTTCAAACCACAGGGAATAAAGATATGGAAAAAAATCCTGAAGAAAGTCAGAGGAGAAGAACACCTTACTATAGAGGAGGAGCAAAGACAAAACTTACATTCAACTTCCTGTGTTGTCAACTTTCTGTTACTGTGACAAAACACATGAGATAAAACAACTTAAAAGGAGGAAAGGTTTATTTTGGCTAACGGTTTCAGAGGTTTCAGTCTATGGTCACTTGACCCTATTTGCTTTGGGGCCTAAGGCAAGTCATACATCATAAAGTCCATGAGAGAGGAAACTACTCACCTTCTGGTGGCCAAAAAGCAAAAATAGGAAGGAAAGAATGAGCTAGGGTCTCAACGTGCCCTTCAAGGACACACCCCAATGACATAACTTCCTTCCACTAGGCTCCACCTGCCTCCCAAGGGTTCCACCACCTCTCAGTAGCACCACCAGCGGGGGACCAAGTCAGTCTTCAGCACATCAGCCTGTGGGGGTACCTAGGATTCAACCCATAACGCTTCTTAGAAACTGAGGGCATTAAGAGATTGCAGTGAAATATTTAAAATGTTGGGAGAAAAAAGCTTTTAACCCTAGAATTCTGTATTCTGCAAAAAACTATCCTTCAAAAGTGAACAAGAAATACTTTCTTAGACAAATGAAAATTGAAAGAGTTTGTTGCTAGTAGACGTTCCTTGTGAGAAATGTTAAAAGTTCTTTAAAGTGAAAGAAAAATGATACAGGTCAGAAACTCAGGGCTACAAAAAAAAGGAAGAGTATTGTAGAAGCAATAAGTGAAGGTAAATAAATTTTTATTCTCAATTGATCAAATAAAAAACAATTTATTCAAAACAATAACAATACAATTGATCATGTGCTTATATATTTATCATATGTTATACATATATATATGCTTTACTTATGTTTATTTATAAGTAAAGTAAGTGACTTCAATTATACAGGGGAAAGGAGAGAGGAATAAGAATTATTTTGTTATTATGAGGTATTTGCTTTAGCAATGAAATGGTATAGTGTGGCTTGAAAGTAGATTTGGATTCATTGTAAGTATATATTGAAAACTTAACCCTAACCCTTGCCCTAACTATAATCATTAAAAATGTTTAAAAAATAAATATAATTGATATACTAAGAAAGAAGAGAAAATGGAATAGTATAAAGTGTTCAACTAAAACTAAAAAGGCAGAAAACTTACAGAAAACAAAAATAGGAACAAAAAAAATAGGAACAAATCTGGTAGATATCAATCCAACTATTTCCACAATTACTTGAAATGATCTAAAGCCATCAATTAAAAGCTAGAGATTTTCAAAGAGGATCAAAAAGCAATACCTGGCTGGGCATGGTGGTGTTGCCTGTAATTCCAGAGACTTGGGAGGCTAAGGCAGGAGGATTATGAGTTCAAAGCCAGCCTTAGCAACTTAGTGAGGCCCTAAGCAACTCAGCAAGACCCTGTCTCTAATAAAATATTTTAAAAAGGGTTGCGGGCAGCTGGGGCTGAAGCTCAGTGGTAGAGTGCTTGCCTCCCACATGTGAGGCAGTGGGTTTGATCTTCAGCACCACAGAGAAATAAATGAATAAATAAAGATACTGTGTCCATCTACAACTAAAAAAATATTTTTAAAAAGGGTTGGGGATGTGGCTCAGTGGTTAAGCACCCCTGGGTTCAATCCCTAGTACCCAAAACAAACAAACAAAACAATACCTGACTCTATATTGTTACAAGAAACCAACTTTAAAGTCACATATAGATGAAAAGTAAATGGATGCAGAAAGATAAACCATACTAACCCTAACAAGGGAACAGTGGGAATTGCTATGGTAAAATCAGACAGCAAACTTCAGAACAAGGAAAGTTATCAGATAGAAAGAGGGGCCTTTCATAACCATAAAAGGGTCAATTCTCCAAAAGCACAGCAATCCTGACACATATATGCCCAGCAACAGAGCATCAAAACAGAGGGGGCAAAAACTGATAGATTTTAACGCCCTCTATCAAAAAATGTAAAGTCCAACCATCTGAAAATCACTAGGGTATATCAGAACTCCACGGTACCATCAATCAAGTGGATGTAATTGACGTCTATAGAGGACTTCATCCAACAACAGCAAAGCACACATTTTTCTCAAACTTACATGAAGCATTCACCAAGATAGATCCTATTCTGGGCCATGAGAACCACTTTATCAAATTTAAAGGAATAGATATCATATTACATCTGCTTTCCCATCACAGTGAAATTAAGGTAGAAATCAGTAACAGAAGGTTGTGAGACCCCAGAATACTTGGAGAGTCAACATCATACTTCTACCTACAAATGAGTCAAAGAAAAAACATCAAGACAAAGTTTTAAAGTATCTTGAACAAAATGAAAATGAAACACAACTTTTCAAATTTTGCAGATTCTGAAAAAGCAATGCTTAGAAGGAAATTTATAGCATTGGTACATCTACTAGAAAAGAAGATATAACTAAAATAAATAACCTCAGCTTCTGTAAAGAAACTTGAAAAAGAAGAGCAATTAAATCTGAAGCAAATAGAGGAGAAAGGAAATAATACAGATTAGAAGTCAAAGAAATAAATTAATGTAATCCATGACATCAAAAGGCTAAAGAAAAAATGCACAATCATATTAATGCAAAACAAGGCATTTGACAGAAACCATCTCTCATTCATCATAAAAAAAAACTCTCAGTAAATTAGAAATAAAGGGGTACTTCCTCAATTCTGTGATTTCTTCCAAAACCCCTCATGGCTAACATTATAGTTAATGATGAGAAACTAGATGCTTTTCCTATTAAAATCAGGAACAAAGTCAGGATGTGCCTTCTCACCACTCCTCTTCTTCCTAGCTAATGTAATAAAGCAGGAAAAACAAATGAAAGACATACTGATTCAGAAGGAACCGATAAAATTGTCTTTGTTTATAAATGACACGATTGTCTATATGGAAAATCCTAAAGAATTATAATAATCAACAACAACAATAAAACTCCTAAAACTAACAAATGATTATTGCAGTGTTGCATGATATAAGGTTAATACACAAAAGCCAGTTGCTTTGTGATCTCTCAGGTAGGAACAAGTGAAATTTGAGTTTAAAAACAAAATACTGTTTACATTATTCCACAAAATGAAATACTTAGGTATAAATATAATAAATATAATAATATAAGATTTATATAAGGAAACCTATAATACTCTGATGAAAGAAATCAAAAGGGAACTAAATAAATAAATAGTCAATCCAAGTTCACAGATAGCAAGATTCAGTGTTGTCAAGGCATCAGTTCTTCCCAATTTGATCTATGTATTAAATACAGTCCCAACCCAAATCCCAGTAAGATATTTTGTGGATACCAGCAGACTGATCCTTAAGTTTACATGGAGATGCAAAAACACCAGCATCACTGTTAAGAGTCTGTAAACAAGTCAGGATGGCGCCTGGCATTTTGCCAGGGGAATGTTAGAGTCTGTAAACAAGTCTGGATGGCGCCTGGCAAAATGCCAGAGGGAGTGGTTTGTGAAGTAACGCCAGCGAGCCATTAAGTGTGGAGATTCCTTATTGGTTGACTGATGTATCTAGTTTATGCTAATTAAGATAAGCTGTGTGGAATGTATATATACCCCTCCTGTCCTACAATAAACGGCTCCCACTCCTGCTGTATCAATCTACACAAGTGGTTCGTCACCCCCCCGGCTAGTTTGCCCAGCCAGCCGGGCTGCGGCACATCACCAACACTATAGTGAGAAGAACAAAGTCAGGGACTGACACTACCCAACTTCAAGACATGTGATGAAGCTACCATGGACCAAAAACTGTGATATTGGTGAACTGATAGACAAGTGACACATAGGTCACAGAAGCAGAGGACAGCCCAGAAGTATAAACGTTGTCAACCCATCTTTGACAAAGAAGCAAAGACAGTCTTTTTAATAAATGGTGTTAGAACCATTGGACGTCTGCATGCAGATGAATGTATGTAGATCCAGACCTCACACCCTCAGCTAAATTAATTGAAAAAGGACCACAGACCTACACGTGTAATACAAAACTAGAAAACTTATTTTAGAGCAGTGCCATTATTCTATATGATCTTGTAATGGTGGAAACATATCATTACACATTTTCCTAAATCCTTAGCACATGCGACAACGTGAGTGAACCTTAATGTTTGTGATGATGTTTAGGATGACTGTTTACGATGATGTGTCACTTGCAGACTGTTTTAGTCAGCTGCTTCATTGCCATGACCCAAAAGACCTGACAAGAACAATTAGAGGGAAAGTTTATTTGGCTCCAGTTTCAGGGGTTCGGTCCATGGTTGGCCAGCTCCATAGCTCTGGGCCTGAGTGAGACGGATCATTGTGGCAGAGGAAAGCAACTCGGGACATAGCACCTGCAAGCAGAGAGAAAGCACTGTGCTCACCAGGGCGAAAGATAAACCCCAAAGGCACGTCCCCAGTGACCCACCTCCTCCAGCCACACTAATCCATATCAGCGAATCAATCCATTGATGAGGTTACCACCCTCATGGCTAAACATTTCACCTCTACACTTTCTTGCGCTCTCTTACAGTTGAGCTTTTGGGGGACATCACATATCTAAACCGTAGCATAGGCTCATCCATCCTAGCAAAGGAACAGATGTTTTGCTGTGAATCTAAAACTGCTCTCACAACTAAAGTCACTTTAAAAAAAAAAAATCAACATAAACCAAGGTTTACTTCCATCTCTTCTCTGCCGACTCAAGCAAGATGCACTGTGTGGGAATTTCGTGGGGATTTCTGTGGAGGACAACATGTCATCTAATGAGATTTCTTCCAGGTCATTAAGAACCAACTTCTCACCCAGCCAAAACTTTGACACAACTGAGCCAAAATTAACTGCAGACTCTGGGAATATTGTGTACCGAGCCCTGCTCCTTTTTCCTGAGTTATTTAATAATAACTGCAAAATGGGTGAAAATAAAATTGTAAACTCACATCAGCTGTGAGCTCCAGAGTTTGAAAATGGCCTTCACATCTGCATCTCATTCCATGCCACCATCGCACTCTGGAAAAGGTGGGAGGGGGATTAAAGAGCAAGCACGGGAACTCGGGAACCCTGCATTAGAGAGCTCAGGAACTCGTCCCGGGTCACGAGACCAGTCACCAGTGGAGGCAAGGTTCAAAAGGAGGCCGCAGGCTGAGATGCTCCTGCCACTCCTGCTACCCCTTTCCCTACCCCTTTCTCTCTGGGACTCCCGTTCACAACCTGCTGGGAAGTGTCACATGTGGGCCACCAGGGAGACCATCTGTGAAGCAGCCGCATCAGAGAGACAGTTTTATTGGGGAAACTGCCACTGTATGCTTTAATGCTGTGATACCACTTCAGAGGCCTGTGCTGCTTTGCCCTGCCACAGAATGAAACTTCTACCTTTCAACAGGGAAGTGGCGCAGGACACATTTTCTGGACCCACCACTTCTTTCAGCATTGCTAAAATGATGCCCCCTCCCCCATCATGTGAAAGACCATGTTTAAGGTGTTCTCTTCTCTCTCTTTCTCAAAAAGGTATGGCAGAATACTCATTTACTTAATATCCTGCTTCGGCGTGGGCGTCACTGGTGTTGTGGTAGCATTTGCACCAAATTTCCCTGTGTTTGTGATCTTCCGCTTCCTGCAAGGTGTGTTTGGAAAGGGGACGTGGATGACTTCCTATGTGATCGGTAAGACCTCCTGCGCCCTCTTCCCTGTTGGGGAGCTGAGGTCAGATGGCCAAGAAGTGCCTGCTGGTGGCCTTCGTCCATGTGCATTCACAGCAAGAACAGATTTCCTTTCGGCTACTGCCATTGTTTCTACAAACTGGGGGGCTGGGAAGGATTCTGGCTGCTGTAGCAACTGACACACCCCTTCATTTTGGGAACCAAATACAAAATGCCATAAGACCCTCACTGAGCCACTTTGGACCACTCTCATGGTGGTTATCCCATGTGTTCTAGTTTTGCTGTTTTAAAAGTTGATTTCTACAAAAATTTCAGAATCTTTTTGAAACAGCATGTTCAAAGTATTTTCTGTGTAGCATGTTCTGTGCTATAGTTCAAGGTTACTTTCCTGTATTCTCAGATATCATGTCTTTAACTCTCCTTCCGTATAAATAGAGAACTCTTTACCACGTGGGAGATCTATCCTAAAAAATGAGGAGCCTATTTGTGGCCTTTGCTATCTTCCTAACTAGAAAGTCAGACTTTCTGGGCATGAGAGAAAGTCTCACTCTGCCACATCACTTGGAAGAGTCCTCGATGCCTTGTGACTCTCCTCCTCGTCCTAGCCACTTACTTTAAGTCACAGTGGATATGTGCCCGAGGAAATGAGAACGTTCCTCTTAGATTATCCCTGAGATTTGGGCTTCCTCTCTCTGGTAACTGCTTACCTGTTACCCAGGCAGTGCCCACTCTGGAGACCTTTTGAAGACGTTGTTATAGGTGGAAAAAGAGAGAGTGCTAGAGGGATCAGTCGTCACTGGCGGAAGCAGAAAGGGTAACTTTGAAATCTGAGACATTTTGAAATAGACACAGGCCTTTGTGAATGTTCAGAGCTGTGGTCTTAGGGTAACTTGTCCCAGGATGGTGAATAGAAGAGACCCAGAGTGGGAAGGGGCAGAGGAGGGCGGGAGTCTACCAGATAAATTTAGGGAAATATCACAGAAATGAAATGTCCAACACTGGGGAGAGAATTATTATCATTTAATAGAAACTATCTCTTAATAATAGAAATAAATAATGGAAAATAAATAATAGAAATTTATTTATTTATAATAGAAAATTATTTATGGAATTCATGTTCATAATGATTGTCCTAAGGGACTGTAATTTGCAAATTTTTTAGAGATACAGTGGTAAAATTCATCCAGTTGAGCATACTTATATTTTGATAATTAGCATTTTCTTTTCAAAACAATTGAGGCTTTCCTAAAGCCGAATGCTATATTCTTTGTGTCCCCACCCCCCACCATGCCCAGCAGGGTGCTGGGCTGGGTGATTAAGAGGAAGGTGGCAGAGAACAGAAGGAGAGGAGAGCAAATGTGGTCCTGGAAAGAGCATCTCCATCGTTTCAGAAAACATGGAAGCCTCGGGTCCTTGAGTTCTGGAGCGCTCCGGCAGTGCTGATGGGTACAACAGGTGTAACGTCTTTTTGCTTGTTTATTTTGGAGCTGATCTTGAGCTTCCCTAACCTCTTGTGTTTGTTTTCCCTCAGTGACAGAAATAGTAGGTTCAAAACAAAGGAGGATTGTGGGAATAGTGATTCAAATGTTCTTCACCCTTGGAATCATAATTCTCCCTGGAATTGCCTACTTTATCCCCAATTGGCAAGGGATCCAGCTAGCCATTACGCTGCCCAACTTTCTCTTCCTCCTTTATTACTGGTAATGTTGTTTTGGTCATTATCATGCTTACACTTACCCCAAGGAAATGTAGAATCCAGACCCACACAAAAAATGCTAGCAGCAGGGAAATTGTCCAGCATCTTCAGAATGGCTATGGGCTTTGAGAATTTTTAAATAACTTGAGAATTTAAACAGATAACTTATTAAAGATTTGTCTCATAGTTATCACCGAAAATAATAAAATGCCAAAACAGAAAGTTCTAAATAGAGTTTTGCATTATATGTTTTCTTGGCTTTTCGATATCTTAATGAAAACTATAAGGCAACAGCTACATCTGCCCAGTATTTCAACATGCAGATTAAATGCAGTGAAATCAGTTTGCTTCTCTGTATGCTCTGTTAAGCAAATTAGCCTTACTTGGGAATTCTCTGAGGAATAGAAAATGTTAAGAACATCAGAAAATTAAATTATCAAGAAACCACAGGTGTATGCACTTGATGCTTATTAGCATGGATATATTTTAATCATTCCTCTCATTTAACTTTAAAATATGGACAAATCAGCTTATATAAATCAAGTTGTTAACCTTTTCTAAGTACTTACTAAATCAAAGTTCTTCTCAAATATGCCTCAAGGATACTGTGATGAACTATTTTTAAGAGCAATGCAATATTGATTTTCATGAGCAGTGATCCATTAATCAAGTTAGTGTGTTTTCCATTCATTATACATTTGCCAAAATTATCTCTATGTTTTAGATAGCTTATTATTAGCTGAGAATTGCCTCAACTTGTACCTAATTGCAAGACCCATTCTAATAGAAAACCTGAAGTCATAAAGTTTCAGATTTTGAAATTTGTAACTCAGAAAACCTCCTTCTTTGCCAGGGTGGTCCCTGAATCTCCCCGCTGGCTGATCACTCGGAAAGAAGGAGACAAAGCCTTAAAAATCCTGAGGAACATTGCTAAATGCAATGGGAAATATCTCTCACCAAATTATTCAGAGGTAATTTTATTCATTACTAGTAACAAATATAGTGAATTAATTTGTCCTTATATACTCAATTTTGCTTCTTAAAATTATATGTGTATTCTAAAAATATGACTAAATCATTCTTAGATGAAGCTAATTGATCATGCAAGTCCTTATTTTAATAGTTGCACCAAGCTACTTGAATCATTATGCATTATTTAATGTAGCCCTCATCCTATTCACTGATTCATCTTGATGGCACAAATTGCACATCTCTCCTTGACATTCAATTTAGAGAATGTTTTGTTTTTAAATTTAGTCTTGGGAATAGTATTTGTCCAAACCAGAGCTCAAGCAATCATGTGATATTTCAGCTTTATTTTCCCTTCCTTCCTACCTTTTTTTTCCCTTCCTCCATTCTTCCCTTTCTCTAGCAAAGACTTTTTGGGTTCCTCTTTATCCCTGCCCTGAAAGGAATGGGGGAAAATTAGCAGCTCATTCTTTTTCCTTGGGAAGATGTGAAATGCAGATGAGATATAGCACACATGGCTGAGGCTACCTTCGAGTAATTGGAGGAGAGCATGTAAAGAGATGCATGACCTCGCTTTAGCTGCAAAGGCTAAGTAAATGCAGAGTACAGAAGGATTATTATAAGAAGAATACTAGGCACAAATTTGGGGAAGACGTAAATCTTGATTTAAAACTGGAAGAATATTAGGCTGCTAACATTGCTTTCTTCATAGTATTCAGTTTGTTTCAGTAGAGACGTGCTGATAAGGGTCTTTGTTGGCTTTACCATCCCTTCCCAGGATGCTTACTTAATTCTGGGAGGACGTGGACACCATCCTCAGGACACTGCTGAATGAACAGCAAAATATTTCAGTTTGACTTTCAGATTTCAGTACAAGTATCAGAACTGTGATCCAGCCATGAGGTCTGACAGCTGTGGTGAGAGCAAATCAGGAGGGCAGTGATATATAAAATACAAAGATAACCCCGGTGCCATTGTTCCAAGAGTAAATCACCCATAATATCAAATACTTCAGTGTCGCCATTCCCTGATGGTCTTGGAATGTTTTACAGATTCCTTGGTGCCTTGGGCTCCTCATGAAGTTTGTATATTAAGGTGGTTGGAATACCTCTTCCAGTTTCTTTAATCCATAGGTTCCTCTCTTTTTCGGTTCTGAGTAATTTGAACATGAAGAATCAGGGGCGGGGGTGGGGGTTGGATTTCTATAGAAGTTTCCTCCGGCTACAGTTTGTTGATTACATCCCGTAGGATGTAGCATGTTCCTGTCTTCCCCTGTAACTTGGTGGTGAGAGCTAGGGTTCAATCAGTTGGGGTTGGATATTTCTGGCTAGCCTTGTTCTAAGGGCTCGGCGCAGTTTTGTTAGAGATACTTCATGTCTTGCAAGTCTCCTTGGGGATGTCACTGCCATTGCCGATCACTGCCTGGATGGATATGCTCATCAGTGGTTGCAGGATGATAGTATTCCCGTTTTGTCGGGATTTCTTCATGCATTTCTGGAATACTTACATAAAGACCTGATTTTCTTATCAATTTTTGGTTACCTGAGACAGTTCATCCAGAAAGGCAAGGACACATGTGTGAGTAATTCTTCTTACTTTAAAAAGAAAGAAAATGAATTGGTCACCTACATTCAAAGGTGTTCAGTGAATTATGTGGTTTTTTTCTATGCCGCATTACAAACTCCTGGATTTAAACGTATTGTATGTGTTTCAACCCTTTGCTGTTACTTTGGTGGTGCCCATCTTTGGGCAGGCTAAGCTTATTTGTGTGCGCTCCTGAGCCCTTCCACCTCTCTGGTACTCTCTGAACAGTTTCTACTCTCAGTACCATGAGATTCTCCAGGCCCATCTTCTAAGTCCTAGTTTTTCTCTAACAACTACCTATTTCTTCAAGGGTGGTTTGGTTTTTAAAGTCAAGTGTCTCCAAATAGAAGCCATCCATTTCTAAGCTTTCTAATTGTACAACATAAACAGAAAAGCAATGTGTTTTCTTCAAAAACGGAAGGATTTGGCATTTTCACTGTAAAACACTGTGCTAATAACTGAATTCAGCCACTTCAGAGGCCTGACTGTAGTTCTCTAAGTCCTGTATGTTCCCCCAAAGTATAATAATGTGCAAAATACTTTACAATAACTCAGAATAGTGGCAGCACACTGGCATTTTACTTGAACTCCAACACCAAAACCAAAGCAAGATCCTATCATAGATTTTGTGCAGTAATAAGCATGACCTGTATCAATTACTCATATTTCAGTGACTCAAACAAATATTGTCTGTGTCAATGTTAGGATCGCCTTAAAATCTTATGCTTGTGCACACAGTTCAGCACTGGGCTGCATCTGGCGCTCAGGCTATGATCTCAGGGACACTCAGGCCCAGGGATGAATGGCCCAGCCCTCTATATGTTCCAGAGCCTCTTCTCAGTAAATCCTGACTCTCAGAAGTTACCATTGTGTAAACTGCCCCATCTTTCCAGATCTCTCCAATGCCCACCTCATTTAGGATGCTCATCATGGGGAATGGAAGCCATGGGAATGGATTTGAAAGAATCCATAGGATTCAAAGCAGCCTGAGGATATTTGGCATCTCTACACTCTCCAGTCCTCAAAAGTGCCTCAGCTGCCTGCCAAGTCCAGCTGGTTCTGTTACTGGCACCAGGACTACTGATACATTTAGGGGATCCCGAGGACCTAGCTTACAACTATCCAAGGATGCGCTCATTTCCAGATGATAACCTAAATTTCACCAATCTCCAAGACTTTGGTAATGGAAGACATGGATGACATAGGTACCCTGGGTTTGATTCCCACATTCAGCCAGGTGGATTACTCTGTGGATGGGTTGCTCTGTGAATAACCTCGGCTCTCTGAATATACCAACGCTGTAACAATTATCCCCTGAGAAGAGAAGTCCAGAAATTAAAACTTACGGCAAGCAGGCAAGTGGTTTGAGACCAGGAGAAGTTTTGTAGAAATTAGAGAAAATCAAAGGGTGCACGGGATTTTAAACAGTGGGTAGTTACCCAATGCAGAATAAGGATTAGCTTGGCAAGAACAATGGTTCTCAGCCTTTGAACACTTGCACACTATAATTTTTATGCATATTTAAAAATAAAAAGCAAGTTATTAGCTCATCTACAAAAATTACAGCACAGGCACCACAGGGTCTGGCAATGTGGTCAGAAGCAGCCGCAGCTGTCCCCACAGACCCACAGAGCACACTGATGAAGACAATTGCCTTTGCCCCAACCACACCTCTTTTGCTCAGAAGTTCTGGTAACTATGGGATTTTCCTTTGATATCAACTTTGAATGGTTTTCTACCTCTCACTTGTAGCATGCTGTGTCTTGCCCTACATCTGGTCAGTAATGACTAGGTTCAGCTTTCCACTCTTCCAAGATAGACATGTAATAGTTCTCAGCGTAGGTGAATGGTGTGTGCATGGGTGTTGACAACAACACTTATCTGAGGCTATGGCTGCTCCCCAGGCATTGAAGGCTCGTGGATAGAGAAGGAATGAGTGAGTATTTGAGTATCTAGGCTTTTTTTTTAATATAATAGACTTGGTCATTCTGTAAGTTGAACTAGAATGACTAAATTCTTAGTAATCTTTTCTTATCACGTTGTGACGTTATCTGTGGGACATTGTATTCATGTTCCAATTTGTTCAAACCCTCTCTGTAAGAGGATTATGCAATGCCTCTCCCTAAGTAATACATTTCACACCTGGTGCCAGACTTGGCCACCTTACTAGATTGGGCTTTGCCCAATTCAGGACAAAGGTTGCCAGGAGAACAGCATCCCCCGGATCGGTGCTGTTCCTCAGCCTGGGTCTCAAGATGAGCAAGCCGCATCCTGACACAGAGGTGCAGCAGCTGCAGGTCATTGCCATATGGAACATACCTGTTTCCTCAGTGACCTAGGGCATGGTGAGGGTGTCCTGATGTGCCGCAGAGATGGGGGTACCTGTGCGTGCAAACGTGGTTGACGTTAATAGTGCTGGTTCTGTTGTCAGAGTCTGGTCAACACATGTTTGGTTATCCAGAGGACTTGGGGTCGGGGTGGATTAGATGTCTATCTGTAAATATTCCCACGGGATAAAAATACTTCTGCGTTCCACTGATGTTGGTTGTGACGGTGTAGATTGCTGTGACCTCCTGGTAGGTGGGATAGCCTTCCTGCCCTCTGACATTGGCCATGCAGTGTGCTTTGGCCGGTGGTAGATGACCAGATGCCATGCAGTCAAGGTTTGGGTGTGCTTATGTGGCTGGGCCTTGTCTCTGCGCTTCAGTCATCACCATGAGGAGAATAGTCCCAGGCTCACCTAGTGGCCCCAGAGGCTGTTGACAGAATTGGAAGAGTTGCTCCATCAAAGATTCCCCAAACCTGTTTAAGGAGTCTCCCAGCCCACCCCCGCTCACATTTTATACTGGTAAGACCGATGGTTCTCATGCAGCTTGATTTATCAGTAAACACTGATGGATACACGGGTCGGACAGCCAGGGCCCCTGTGCTGAACTGGGCTGTGCAAACCCATAGACAGTAACTTTGGCAGCATTTCTGGTTTTATTTTTGTTGTTGTTCAAAGATTTTAAAGACCTTTATCCTAAAAATCTCTCTACTAGCCTCCCACCCCCCATCATACTCCTCACTGTGTGGGAGATGCTCATAGAGAATATTAGGCGACAACTCTAGCTAACAATGAGCCTCTGACACCACAGGACTGCATAGGTCCATATGGGTTAATGGTATTTAAACACCATGCCACATCAACGAGTTTTGATCATAACTTCCTTGTTTGTGCAGTTCATGGGTCATGGCTGATCTGGAGTTTATTAAAATGGAATTCCACTTGTTTTGTCAACACATGCTCACTGGTGGAAATGCTCAGAGGTGTTTCCCGGTGGCAGGATGTTTAGGGGATATCAGGAATGGACATTTGAGCTTTCTGACCCACTCCTGTGAGCCCAATATTAGTATAAATGACCCCACCTTGGATACA